AAAAAAAAAAAAAAAAAAACAGCAAGCACCTAGCCCCGTCCTACACCCGGACCCAGCGAGCAGCTTAGGCCTGGGCCTGGACCGAACACCCAGGGTGCAAGCCCAGTCTGAGCCTATAAAGGGGGAAAAAAAAGAAAAAGCTCCCAGCCTGCACCTGGGCCCGGTCAGCTAGTTACCCTTGGGCGTGGACCCAGGATTTAGGCCCAGCCTGCGGCTGTCCCGTACATGCTACATGCCTGGTCCTATGCGCCCACCCTTCCCTGAACCTGTCTCCCTCGCCTGCTCCCAGCCTCTGTCTCCGACCTAACCCTCGGGCTGGGTCCCAAACCTGCGCCGAGCCTGTGTTCCCGACCTGCCTTGTGTCCCGGACCCTTGTCTCCCTGACCTCGGCCTGCTTGCCTGCCTGCCAAGCCCCATGATCAGGCTCATGACCAGGCCTAGGCAAACACTTGTCTGTCTGCCTGTTTGTGTGCCTATGTGCCTGCCTGCCTCTGCCTGTCTTCCTGAGTCTGCCTGTCTGCCTGCTTGCCTGCCTGCTTGCATGTCTCCCTGACCTGGGCCTGCTTGCCTGCCTCATGACCAGGCCTAGGCAAACACCTGTCTGTCTGCCTGTTTGTGTGCCTGTCTGCCTGTCTGCATGGTTGTCTCCCTGCCTGCCTGCACACCAGTTTATCTGTCTTCCTGAGTCTTGCCTGTCTGCTTGTCTGTTCAACCTAGCAGACGGGCAGACAGGCAGACATGCAGACAAACAAATAGACAAGCAGACAAACATACAGGCAAACAGACAAACAAACGGACAGACACACAATTTGTTTGTCCATCTGTTTGTCTCTACATCTGCCTGTCTGCCTGTCTGCCTGTACATATGTCTGTGTGCCTTTCTGCCCGTCTGTCTGTCTGGGCCCCGGCAGCGGCTTAGCCCTGGACCAAACACCATGATTCAGGGCCAGTCAGGGCCTATGTACGGGTCCAGGTCTGGGTTAAAAAAAAAAAAAAAAAACATCCTGCAAGGAAAAGGCTCCGGGCCAACTCTCGGCCTATGCACAGGTCGAGGCCTGGGCTTTGAGAACAGGCCCAGGCCGTGGCATGGACCCAGCTAAACCTGAGAACAGGCCCTGGTCCAGGCTCAGGTCCAGGTTCAGGCTCAGGTCGTGCAAAAGAAAAGAGGAAAAAAAAAAAAATCGTTAGGGCCTGCACCTGGGCCCGCGGGGCTTAGGCCCACGACTAGGCCCAACACCAAGGATCAGCCCCAATATGGGCCTTTTCCCAGGTCCACACCCGAAGTCAATGTTTGAAAACAGTATAAAACATTGACGTTGATAAAGGCCATCAACAGCAGTCGAACGATGACTTACTGTCAATGTCGTGCAACCACCCATAGCCTCCATAGCCTCCACAGCCTCCATAGCCTCCATAGCCTACCACTTCTCTCTGCCTCTCTCTCTCTCTCTCTCTCTCTCTCTCTCTCTCTCTCTCTCTCTCTCTCTCTCTCTCTCTCTCTCTCTCTCTCTCCATGGCCCATAGTTTTGAAGGTTGGGAGAGGAGGATGATCGATCCTCCTGTGATGAATGGTGGGTGGAATGTCGGCCACGTCCGCGTCAAAGGCAGACACGCAAGAGGGTGAGGAAACTATCTCATGAGAGCAGGAGATTGATGGCGGAGGATTGGAAGGACTACAAAGATGGAGTCCTCTCTCTCCACCATATACGAGAGGAGCCCGATCAAACGAAGAAGACATCCGGCGACAGTTCGACCGGCGCATCACGAGAAGCCATGAGGCATGCGGAAGACATGGAGAGAGAGAGAGACAAAGAGAGAGAGAGAGAGAGAGAGAGAGTTGACGAACAGGGCACCATCTGCGTCATTGCCACATCAGCATCGCTAGATCACACAATTGCTGCCTGCCACATCAGTGCGGACAGCGATTGGCCATGTCAGCGTCGCAACTTGTGCGCCAGTTGGCCACGTCAGCGTCAGTTCGACCGGCGCATCACAAGAAGGCACGAAGCATGCGGAAGACATGGGGGGAGAGAGAGAGAGAGAGAGAGAGAGAGAGAGAG